TATATCCCTAATTGTAACAAATTATACCCTTTAATGAATAATTTTCATGGAAATCAAAGCCAAATGAACACCAAAAGATCCAAAATTTCAATATTTTTCAGGTGAAAAATTATATCAATCAAATACAATTAATTGACAATTTTCAGTAAAACAAGTTCTAGACAATTCAATTCTCTAAAATTTATTTTATTTCCACCCAAATTCCATTCTTGTAATCAAATGGACCATAATAGTTTTATAAAGCTTCAATAGAGTTTACTAACTTAATAGAAAATAGGAAACATTTTTTGATTTTCCCAAACGAAACACTTGTATCTTTGAAGTTTTTGCGCTTTTGAAAATTCTATTGATGATCGACTATGTATATTGCTATCGATGATTTTGACATAATTCATAACTCGATCAACGATGCCATCGGCAATGTTTGTGACTATACCATCAATGCTAGCCGATAGAGAAGTTGTTGATGAAGTTTATGTATTTTTATCTTCTTCTTATGTTATGGATGGAACAGTTTGTTAGTAACTAAGGACATTTTTACAATTTTTATTAGGAGTGAAAATGGTTCGATTTGGATGGTTTGTGACAAAATTTCAAACTAAACCACAGCTTAAAGTGGTTTGTAATTTTTTTCAAACCAAACAAATCCAGACCACTTTTTTCGGTTTAGTTCGGTTTAAAACCACTGTTTAACATATAAAAAAATATAATAGAAGAAGTTAAATCATAAATATTAGTTTATGTTAAAACAAAAATAGTATTATTAAAAATATTACAAATCAAAATTCTATAATTCTAATCATTATAATGCTACGACATGGTATAAACATTTTAACTTCTTAGTCGATACTTATGGCACATCATCTGCAATTGTTAACTCCATGAAGATAAGAATATAGTATATGAATTTATTGATTATAATTAATGATATAAGACTACTAATAAAAGAAAATGCATATAACACATTCTATAACTTTTTGTGAATCATCTAATGCTTTTACCTCATTCAAATATTGAGAAATCACTATAGGTTTCTTTTTACTATGTAGCTAATTTTTAGCACTACCTTTTCAACCATATTTACACTCAACGAACTTTTAAAGAAATCAAGAATTTGACTACTAGTAAGGAACGCAAACTCAGAAACTATTGTAAATATTTGAATAGCTAACACATCTTCAACAATTTGGGAGACAATCTTATATTTATTTTGCACTAAATTTTCACCAAAGTGATATGTCGAAAAGCTCATTGGTCAAATCTTCAAAATGACCATTTAAGTAATTCATCAAATCATTCTAACAATGAACAAGAAAGTCTAAAAACTAAGTTAAATGTCAATAATTAATTGAGTGACCTGACTGACCAAAAAATTAAAACGCAAATAAAAAAAATGTATTGTCCGCTAAAAATTTAAGGGAGCCCGATATAAATTAGATCAAAACAACGTAATTAACAATAAAATATAGCAAAAAAGAAGAAGAAGAAGAAGAAGATTTGGATAAACTAACTTGAAAATTTAGCCAAAATTCGAAAATTATTAGTAGAAGGGAAAGAAATGTGTGAGTTTGAATTAAAATTTAGATTAAATTGCTCACTCAATTTTAATAGACGGTCTATGAATATGGTTCAGCAACAGTTGTTCAACACTTCTCCCAATTTGATGATTTTACAATCACAAGTTGCAATGCTTGATGAGTATTTGGATATGATTTAATTAATTAATTAATTAAGATAGATAATTGTCTATTTACATATTGAGTTTAATTGTGTTATGTTTAATATGAATGTATCTTTTTAGTTGGAATGTATTCAGTTTTAATTGGGTTGGGTAATATATATATATATACAGAAATGATCTAATGAGCACCGGTGCTCATCTTATCCTAAGCACCAATGAGTTGGCACATTAATTCATTGGTGGATTGGAACTCACAAAATCTTTATCCACCAATGAATTAATGTGCCAACTCATCGGTGCTTAGGATAAGATGAGCACCGGTGCTCATTAGATCATTTCTGTATATATATAT